AAAAAAGAAAAAGAAACAATAATGCAAAATGACAAAGACTAGTGTTAGGAGTACCGGCAAGATGTTTTGGGAGAATCTAGATGAGTACCCAGCTCAGTGTTGAGATGCCAATGAAGACTTTCTGAATGATGTGATGATGCCTTTGCTGAGTCTTAACTGAGATGTAGCAGTTAATTAGGCACAGAAGTGTGTTGGAGGGAAGAACATTCCAGACAAAGGAATACCTTATCCAAAGACAGAAACAAAACATTGATGAGACTACCTTGTAAGTTGATTCTTCATAAGCCATTCCATTGGAGAGTTTAATTTTCTTTTATATGGGTCAGTTTAGGGAGAAATTGTGAAATACATCTATGAGGGAAAAAACTACACAGTGAAAGTATCTGAAAATAAACTTATTAAGATTGGGCAGAAACTACCAGTCTCCAAGGGTTGACTATTAATAATTTATTCTCCACTGGTAACTGTTAAAAAAACCAATAACACCAATCTCATCAGTCATTTTGTCACTAGGAGTCCTAGTGTGGCACTGTAGAATAAGCACTGGGCTGTTAGCTGCAAGGTCAGTGGTTCAAATCCACCAGCCGCTTCACAGAAACACTTTACAAGGTTGCTAGGAGTTAGAATCAACTCAATGACACTTAACAACGAACAACAGAGTTTAAAAGACTTTGGATTAAAAAAAACACATGAATTTGTGTCTTGGTTTTTGCCACTCACTATCTGCAAGATTGCCAGAAATTATATTTAACAGTTTTCCTAACTAGAAGATGCGGATGATGATGTTGATCTGTGGAAGTATGTAGGAATTACTCTTATAATCATTGTAGAACTCTGATTGTTCTAGCTTGTGGGCATAATAGACCCCACAGTTCAGTTTCCTCTGTTACAAATTTTGGCAATAACTTTCATGAGACCAAGAGAGATGCAGCTGAGATTTTTTTTTTAAGAAATTTTTCTTTTGAAAGAATTTCAAACCTTCAGAAACATTGCAAGTATATTTATCCTACAGTTGTACACCAGGGCTCACTATTGCTTTATAGGTTAACCTGGTGTGGCGCTGTACGATAAGCACTGGACTGCTAACCACAGTCTCTATAAACAGTGTGGCTTTGAATTGGAATCAACTCAATGGCACTTAACAACAAATCAACAGTAAATCAATGGTCAAGTTCATCATCAAATGAGATAATGTTATAAGGAGTCCTGTTGGCACTGTAGGGTAAACACTGGACTGCTAGCTACAAGGTCAGCAGTTCAAACCCACCAGCAGCAACTCAGCAGAAAAATGAGGTTATCTGCTTCCTGAAAGGTTTACAGTTTCAAAAACCCTATATAGGGTTTCTGTGAGACAGAACTGATTTGATGGCAATGAGTTTGGGATTTAAGCACTGGGATAAAGTTGGTTTTAGAGGTAATTGTTAGCTAAATAATACTGAATCAAAATAAGTTAATAAAATTGACTCTTAAATACCTACTATAGACTTCAAATATTGCAATTAAAAATCAGAAAAACAGAAAAGAAGAAAACCTTTTGTGAATTTAGAGGGCTATCTATTTTTAAATGACTATACACAGCTATTTTCTAAACCAAATCATTCTTTGAATAGCAATATTATCTGACATTTGTATAATGTATAGCAGTCAGTAAAAGACTTTTGCATAAATGATTTCATTTACAGTAAAGCAAATGCTACCTTTAAGTTGGTGAATGGGTTTTATCACATGCAAAAGGCTGGTTTTCCTATAGTAGATCTTAAACTAGACAGGCTGGTTTAGCAATAAAATTTAGCCAAAATATTACTGCTGTGATAGTTTAGTGTGTGTCACTACTACTCAAAGTTGCACATGTCAACACAGGAAGTTGCCTTTGGGCACGTAACTATCAGTGCATGAAAACATCTGTCTCCATTAGAGCACTTTGTGATATCCTGCTATGATTTTTGTATCTTTAAACTTTAATAAAAACTAGTGGGCATTACTCAACTTGGAATCCCATTTTCCTCGAATTGCTTTCCTGAGATAGGTTCTATTCTAGCACTGTTGTTTTCCACACCATGCTCTTAGGTCATCCAAGTAAGTTCAGGCTAAACTTTGAGAACTCAAAAGATAGGTCACAAAATTATCTTCTCCATGGATTATTGTTTTGCATCAGATAAATTACTCACTCTTCCTATTTTTGTTATCTTGTGACATGTAATTAATTTAGTAATGTCATTATCTTCTTAGGTTTGCTCAAGATTTTCTTAAAGAAGCTGACATACTATGCAAGTAATTTTTATAGAAGTAGAAAAAGCTAATCAAGTTTTTATAAAAATTTTACTCATAATATCTTCTAAAAATTTCATTTTAATGGTACCTTTGACAGTATCCTTCATCTGTGCTTTGTTTCCTTTGGTGTTTGTAGGTTGCCTTATCTAAGTGAAGAGAGTTTTGTTGTTATTGAGTGCCATTGAGTTGGTTCCGACCCATAGCGACCCTGTATAGGGTTTCCAAGGAGTGACTAATGAGCTTGAACTTCCAACCTTGTAGTCCAAACAACTTTGCAGCCCGGTACATTAACCCACAGCGCCACACCAGGGCCCCAAAGAGACTGTAGTTATTGAACATTTCTATAGCTGATGAAAAAGTTCCTAAATTGACAAATAATGTATCCCTTTTTCTAAGGATGCAACTTTATCCAGGGCATGATAGAAATGGAAACTAAACATCCTTGAAATTTTTCCAGAGCTGGCTTGAATTTTTGGGTGTGCCATTTAAGCAGTTAAACATTTGGAATGTGAAACTTCATGTGGAAACAGCACTTGTATCAGATTATGGCTATAACGGGAATTAAGACTTCATGCAAAACAGCCCATCATGACTTTACTTCAGGAAACTTCAAATTCATTGATTTCTGGGGAGAGAGATTGTTTTAAATGAATGTGAAATATATTGGTTTTTCTCAAAGATGGTAGGATAACAATTTCAGCAATCCTCATGATAACCAAGGGGAGATAGTATTGTGTTTTGGATACTATTTCCTTCAGGTATTTAGTCTCATTACTTGGAGCTGCAGATATTTTTCAGTAGGTGTGGATTGAAATACTTTGAGCATGCTGTTAAGGAAACGGGTTATGGGTTTTACTACTCATGAGTCATTTAGCTTTATATCAGAAATTTAAAATGAACAGGGGTTGTCCTTCCAATCTTCCTCAGTTTTATGTTGTTGTTAAGTGCTGTCGAGTTGGTTCTGACCCATAGCGACCCTTATAGGGTTTCCGAGGAGTGACTGGTGAGCTTGAACCAGTGACCACGCAGTTCAAACGGCTTTGCAGTCTGGCTCATTAACCCACAGCGCCACACCAGGACTCCATATATGACAGTAATCGCTAGTAGGATAAATCCAGTAGGTATGGAGAGATAGATCAGTATAGATCTTGAGAAGGGCCTCTTAAAAACACCTTCCCAGATCAAAGTGATCATTAATTCATTTTTCAGTGGATAGAAAAAACACATTTTTTTAACATGCATCAAGTGTAAAAACATTCATGGTTAATCAAATAAACATATTGTCAAAGAACAGTAACACTGCAAGAGATTTCCTTTGAGATAGAACTTGCTAGAAGAGGGCATGCTTGTTGCAGCATTTTTACTATAATTATTGCTGTTAGAAGAAGGAATCTGAGTTAAAATAATTTTGTTCAGGTTGGGTTTTTTCTTTGTGTGTGTGTGTGTGTGTTGGGTAAAAACAACAACAACAACAAACACATAGAATTATTATTTAAGACACTTCAAGTAGGAAGATATGTGAGTGTAGCAATTATTCCAAGTACCAAAGTAGTTGTATACCATGGAACATTAAAAGAATCAGAATTAATAGGGGTTTGATAAGAAATATGTTGTTGGTGTTAAGTGCCATTGAGTTAGTTTGGACTCATAGCCACCCAGTATAGGGTTTCCAAGAAGCAGCTAGTGGGTTTGAATTGCTGACCTTATGGTTCACAGTCCTGTGCTGATATACACCAGGAGTCTGATAAGAAATATAGTGGGTATCTTTATATGGATAGTGTTCTGTGTCTGAATTCTCTTCTGCAGTTTTTTTGTTTTGTTTTGTTGTGTTTTAATGAATTTGTCCTCACAAATGCAAATATTATGTTTTCTCAATCCACTGTTTTAGTTCAGGCTGTGCTATGAGCAGACATAATCTTTTTGAAATATAAATTTTACTACTTTCTTGTTTAAAATCCACTAATAGTTCCCTAAAGCTTTGGGGATATATTTACATGTCCTTGTTAGGACTCCTGACAACGGTACTTGTTCCAGTAAATTTCTCACAGTTTCAAAACCATGACAGGCTTTTCTCTGTTTTGCTCAATCCAGTTTTTCTGCCAGGTTAATCACGCCCCATTTCAAGAGAGGTTCAAATTAACCCCAGCCGCCTCTAACAAGTTTCCTCAGCCCTTGTGTATGTTCCCACAGAGAGCACACAATGACACAATGTGTCCATTGTTTGTGTGCCCTCAGTGCTTGATATATAGTGGGTGTACCATAAATTCAGAACTGAATGGATCATTAGTTCTACACTCCAGTTTATATTCTTAGGTGTATAGCAACCAACTGACCCCTAAGGGTTAGGGCTGAAAATGACAAGAGTTAGAATTCTGAGTAGAGTATAAAAATCCCCTTTTGAAAAAACAAACAAAAGCACATAAAAACCACCAGCAACCCAAACAAAAATATTTTTCTTGTAGCATTACCTTATGGCCCTAAGAGTGCCCTGGAAAGCAAGAACCTGGCTTCTCTAAAGGCAGTTTAGTGCTTGGTTGTTAACAAAGGGTCAGCATTTCAAAGCCATGGAAAAAAGTTGTGGCAATCTGTTTCTGTAAAGATTACAGCTTTGAAAACCCTTTAGGGAAGCTCTACTCTGTCCAATAGGGAAGCTATGAATTGGAATTAACTTGACTGACAACAAGTTTGTGTTTTGGTAAAGAATCTTTTTCCCCCAACAGGTATTCTTTAACAATGGCGATGGTATCCGAATTCCTCAAACAGGCCTGGTTTATTGACAATGAAGAGCAGGAATATGTTGTAAGTAAAGTGACAAAAAATTACAATATTAAAATCCAAACTAATATTGAGTGAGTAGACATTAATGCATTTCTCTCTCATCCATAGAAAACTGTGAAAGGATCCAAAGGTGGGCCGGGATCAGCAGTGTACCCCTACCCAAGCTTCAATCCATCCTCAGATGTTGAAGCCTTGCACAAAGCAATAACAGTTAAAGGTAATGAAAACCGTGCCTGCTGACGTTTCACAATAGATACTGGAATGGCTATTGAAACACATATGTACAGTAGATAGAATCATTCATTTGATGCTAAATGATTTCTCTGCTAAAAGAAGATGTATTTCCTTTCTCAACAGGTAGGGCTATCCTTATAAGCTCGTTTTTAGCAGAACCTCAATGTTGAAATCAACACTTCTACTCACATTTAGGGTTTGACTAGGATCAAACTCTGCAGCACTGAGAGCAGGAACAATTGCCTTCTTCTGTCTCAGTCCAATGAATGGCATGCAATTCTGGTCCATTTTCTGCCATTTTGCATAGTTGTAAATTTTCTAGGTT